TACCCCTTTTTTCTAACAAACTTCAAGGGTTTTTAAAACTTGACAGTTTGCAATAATTTTGTACATTTTCAAAGAAGTCAATAAAAACATATTTATAAAAGGCACATCGAGAAAGAAGTTGCTTTTTGGAAAAAGCCCAACTTTCAGCTTGTAACAGAATTAACAAAGAAAGGAAGAGGTTATGCCTACTGCACAAAGATTGTAGGCAAAATAGACTATGGTACAAAAATAACAATCCCCCCTCCCTCTACTGTATGTCCCAGGTTGCAATAATCAGTATAACCAGGATTTATTCTAAAAAGTGATTGCACTAATTGCACTGTTAATTTCAAATAAATCTGCATAACAGCAGATAATAACCTGCAAACATTTATATTTTCCCAGGTCTAGCAATGTGCTCTTCAATTTTGTGGCTCTGGCAGTGGGTCCCATACCCCATTAATATTAAATTAGAAGACTTTTGCTAAAGTTGCGTTTTGTTTGGGGTGTTATTTTCCAACACACACACACACACACACACACCAAACTGCAACACTAGCTATATCCAGATTTAAAAAGTCAATGTGTGTATTTGGAAGTTCATTCTTACATATATTTAATTCAGAACTCCACAAAATTTACTTCCACTATATTGGTTGAGTTCTGAGGAAATTATTTTACTGTTCTATGCCATTTCAGTGGCTATCCCATTCAATCTGTTTTTCAATTGTCCTTATGATTCCTCTGAAAAGACAGACTTTTATCTAACTTCAGAAAGTTCTTTGTCAAATTGTCTTCTTGAGTACTCAGTCTACTCAATACTCAGGTTGGCTAATTACAGAGTGTTCACTAACCCACTGACACTAGGCATACCATAGCATACAGTGGCAGAACAAATGTCCAGATAACAGAAGGAGAAACCAAATAATATTGTCACTACTTTCCCAAAGCAAATTCAGAATAAAAACTGAGTACCATAAATGATTATTACTGCTGTTGGAAATTTCATAGGAACCTTAAATTGAAAATCAATTTTTAAAAATGATTACTGGAAATATTTCTAATTTATACCTGATGTCTTAGCAATATTGTTTAAATGGGCAGTGTGGAAAAATTACTTTTATCTGTATACTTTTCAGCCTGTGGCACAAAGGTTATAGATTAGTATTGGAATGTTTTTATTTTGAATAATTGAATAATTGAAAACAGTTTCTATCTAGATGAATATATCATATTGCACTGGGAATTAGTTCTGAAAGCAGTTATATATTCAGAGAATGCTCATCAAATCATTCCTTGAATGGAATCATCACAACTGCATTGATATGGAAGTAATATAAGAATGCAATGTGTCAGCTTTGTGTGTCATGTGCTTTTCAAATATGTTTTCAGTATTGCAAAAAAAAAAAAAACAGAAGCAAAGAGATGTTGGTAATGTATGGCATTTTGCTTTAGATATTCTCTTTCAGAGAGAGAAATACTGTATGGGAGATACCATCAATATTTTGTTGTTGGTTTGCCACCACCCCTGACTAATGTGCCTGCTGGAAATTATTAAAACAACAATAAATAAATCTGAATTTTTAAAGGTTTGTGTATGAAGTTGTATAAAATTATGAAGTTGTGCACTGATGACTGTCTGTTTTTTTTACTCTCCTCAAGATGGTGCCCTCTTAAAGTGCTGGAGTGAATCTCCCATCAGCCCACATCAGAACTGACAGCGCTGGTTGAGAGAGGTTGGATTTTGTGTCCAAGAAAAATACCATCTTTGGATAACATAGAACCTTGTCCCAAACCCTCAAAAATATAAGACAGCCCTTCTTTAGCACCAATATAGGTAGCCCTTAGCTTATGACAATTTGTTTAGCAACCATTAGAAGTTTTCACAGCACTGAAAAATAACTGACTTATAACTTGTTCTCACATTTATAACTATCACGGTATCCCTCACGATCACATCATTGTGATTTGGGTGTTTGGCACATCCAACCAGCATATATTTATGACGGTTACAGCATCCTGAGGTCATATGAAGGCCATTTGCAACCTTCACAACTGGGTTTAGATGAGCCAAGTCAATGGGGGAAGTTGGGTTTACTTAATGGACATAGGAAAAAGGGTGTAAAATTGAGCACTGCTCACTTAACAACTTACTTTTGGAAGTTCTGTTTCCAATTGTGGTTGTATGTTGAGAACTGCCTATAGAGCTCTGGAGGATGAAAGTGTAGAATCCAGCATCTCTGGCAAAATTGCTCTGCAAGAGACTTATCCTGGTGACTCATTACAAAGCAGAAAACTAGCAAATTGTCTTAAACCAGCCCTGATAGTGTTTGGCAAGTGGTGACTTGTGTTCGTAACTCCATTCTTATAAAAAGACCTTTTTTCTCCAACCTAATTGCCTCCAAGTATGTTGGACTTCAACTGCAACTTCCAGCCAGATTGAGAAAACTGTTCAAGAATATGAATAATATCCAGAAACCTATTTACTCCAATAATTCTTCCTTTCCCTGCTTTGTTTGAAGAATATAATCAGGGTGATTGGTTAGAGGAGTATATTCAGCTTTGCCTTACATCCTGGCACTATTTATTACCCAGATTCCTAATTGTTCTGTATTGCTACATTTGCATTCTTGGAACCCCTCGTCCTGATTGGCCAGGACGCACGGCGCTCGGATTGGCTGAGTGAGCCGCAGCGATTGGCCCGTTGCGAATCGGCCGCGATTGGAGGAAACCGATCGCGGGAGATTCGAAATGGTGTCATTGGCCGCGGCTGGCAAGGCAAGTTCAATATAAGCCGCCACCGATCCGAGGAAAAGCCGATCCGATCTCAGAACTGAATAAAAGAGCTTTAAAAGGGTCACTGAGTCTTGCGTCTCCTTTTTTGCGATCGGCGAACATGACACTAATGGCTCACAGTCTATGACTTAACTTTGCCTCATGAAGAAACACACATTGACAGAGTTGAAAGGGAACTTTTCTAGTCCAGCCCACTGTGAAACCAGAGACCCTATACTATTTTGAACAAATGGCTGTCCCAGATCTTAAAACCTCCAGTGATGGAGGTTGTACCTACAATTCCTTGAGGCCAGCCATTCCACGGATTAATTATTCTCATTGTCAGGAAATTTCTCCTTAGTTGCAGATTGGATCTCTCTTTGATAAGCCTTCATCCATTTACCTTAGTTGTTCTGTCCTCAAGGTGCTTTGGAAAATAGGTGGATCCCCTCTTCTCTGTGACACCTCCTCAAACATTGGAAGACTGCTGTCATGTCACCTTAGTCTTTCTCTTCCTTAAACTAGACATACCTTGACTTTTTTTTTGTTTGCCATGTTAAAAGAATTGCTATTAAATTCTAGTATCTTGGCCCTCTCATTGCTCACTCATGAAAAAAGCTGTGTGTGCCTTCCAATGTTACTTACATATATACATACATACATACACGCCAACAAGAATGGAATTCCTAAAGCTCTTTTCTGTGGCCTGCAGAACCTGTGCAGATTCAGCAGAAAAGTACCATATTGTTCTGATCCAGCCTTAGCAGAACCAAGAAACAGACTCTTTATCCCCAAAAAACCCTCTTTATTTAGTTACTGTGAATTCATGGCATTCACGTACAGAAAGTCCAGGCAATAATCCTTCCAAGGATTAATTGCAAGAACAGACCTTATCAGTCCTTGGATAATTACCAGGCTGAAAGCTTCCAGTAGCAACGCTGTAAATTAATTCCTGGCAAGCAGTCTCTGAGGCACGAACCACGATAAACAAATATTCTGAAAGAAATACGAACTGTTGTCTCCTACAATCACCACTCCCCTTTTGTTTCTATTTATTCCCCAGCCAGGGTAGGGTCATTCAGCATCCAAGTGTGCCTTTTTTCCCAAGTCAGTTCCTGTTCCTCAGTTCTCTTCTCCTGACAGCTTTGCGCATATGCACAACTGGAACTGTCCCCAGCTGTTCTTCTTCCCCACTTATCTCCGACTCCAAAGCCAGCTGGGAAATGTTGGATGGCCCTGGCTCTATCTCTGCTTCCAACATAGAGCATCCATCAGAGCCTTCCCCAGACTCCAGGATTAGCCCAAGTTCCTCCCCAACCTCTTCATTGTCTGAGTCTGCTGCTAGCTCCACTGGCAGCTGGTGAGACACAACACATACAGTATAATGATGGTGGAATTTGTTTAATTTTCAGTGACAATCCAAAATTAGTTGGGAATAGAACCAAGAAGGTGCTTAAGCCCAAGTCTAGATAATTAGAGGAAAAAATCAACACCACGAAAAAAGACCCCCAATCTTATCTCTGCTTTCCATCAGCCAGAAAATCCCCGTGATCACAATTATCATGGTAGAAGGCATGATTTTTTTTATATCAGAAAGAACATGAACATCCTAAACATTATCAGTCCTGTTACACTCTTGTGCTGTAATAAACTGGTCTTTCTCTTTGTGTTTGTTTATTTAGGCAAAGTAAATTTTGCACTGCTCTAGCATTGAGAATTCCCTCCACCTATCTCTGTTTTTTTTCCTTTTCTTATCCTTTTCTTATTCCCATTAGTAAGTTACTAGAAGAAAGAATAGAGTTTAGCTATTTCATCAAACACTTCTGCATCTCTTTTGCCAGTTATTTTAATAGTAAAATAAGTGGATTAGGCCTAGTAGAGACTTACTTTTTTATTTCCTGTTTTGTGAAGGAACACCTACCAGAACATTACATTCATTCCTGCATTATTCTACAGATGGAGTATATATATATATCTATACATATTGATATCAATATCAGTATTGATATATAGATATATCTATTTCTATCTATCTCTGTATAGATAGATAGATAGATAGATAGATAGATAGATAGATAGATAGATA